GTTCTCTCCTTTCAGTTCATTTTCTTTTTATTTCGAAGTTCACCTTCAATTTTGATACGATATGTTTCATTCTTCTCTCGCTTACACGTTCCCATACGGGAAAAATGTTCTAAAGAATCTTGTAGCGTTAAAAAAAGCTCTTTTAAATTCTGTGGAAGTCTGGGAAAAGATATAATCACTAAAATCTGCCAGATAGTCCCATCTTTAAAATGTTAAAATTTTAAGATACGTTTTCTATAAATACAATATCTCTTGAACATTACCGATAAATAATATTTTTCCCGTATAAAACGTGATTTTTTTTTCTTTGGATTATTTATATATCAGTTACTTTGCATAATGATTTGCTTCGACATCTTTAATTTCGCTTCTTTGCACTGGCGTCGATTGTTGAAATAAAAGGTATTATTAATATATAAATATATTATTAATATATAAATTTTTATTAATATCAAGTGTAGACTAATTATTTTTTTCAAGTTAGTTGATATTGTATTTCTTTTGTTTATTATATTGTCAAAACATATATCTTATATTTTATGCAATTTAGATAAACTCAACGTAATCGACGCCAATGCGTTTTTCTGATTTTATAATATTCATCTGTTATGTTAAACTTCTTAGTTCCTCAGTTTCATTTAATCTTAAAAATATTACGTTTCTGTTGGGAATTATTTTTATTTCGCTTGTATTCTCCTTTGCTCAATGTCCATTCGTATTTTTCGAAAGTCGACTGGATGTGCAAAAGAATGAGGGATAATGCAGGTGGGATATTTATCATTTTCGTTTTGTTATTAAACTTACTTTATTTTCTCTTTATTTTAATTTTACTTTTAATTTAACCGTGAGCTTTCGGTGGCGGTCGTCTTACGCTTAAAGTTCGTTCAGAACACGTTCTTTCCACCCGTTTCTCTCGTTTTTTGGACGAGCTGTGTCACAATAGAAAGAAGGCGGAAGAGAGAGGGAGGCACTGATTGTGGTTTTTTGTATTTTGCCTCACTGATGTGTTTTTTGCGTGGCACCCACTCGAGAGAGCGAGCGTGAAGCACCACACCCGATTTCCGAGATGACACACGATATATGTATCTATATATCCCTATCTATATATAAATATGCATACTCATTTTACTCCTCCACACGTACATCGTACACATCCACACGGAAACACACATACATGCGCAAAGACAAAATATGCGAAAGAAGCACAGGTTTTTTTTTTCGATGTGGTGTGGCTAGCGCTGCATTTTTGTTTTTGTCACGGCAAAGCTCCCTCTCAAAGAGTCCACGGACCATTTTTCGATGGCGTATCCTCGGCAAGCATTTTTTTTTTTTTATCTTGTCATGCGTGCACGCGCGGTCCGATTCGCATTTCTCGCGGAAGATTTCGCGAGAAGACAATTACAGGTCGCGATTGTCACGCGCGTAAAAAGGTAACGCGTAACGCGTTACGAGGAGTTCTCTCGTGCGAGATCGACGAACTTTTAGGAAATTATCGCGTTCTCTCTCGGTGGCATCCGTAACACGTCGTGTCGTCGTCGAAGTGGATGAAGTCGCGGAGAAAGAATGGAGGAGGGCAGGCAGGGGGGGGGGAGGGGAACGAGAAACGGTTGAAAAATGCCGGATACGCTGATTGCGGTAATAATAGCTGGTCGCCTCTCCAGCGTGGCGCGGCGGCGGTGGCGCTGGCGGCGGCGGCGTGGTAAAAATCCCAATTCCGGGAACAATGGCCGGCTTCGCGCCATGGAAGCCCGCTAATTGAATCGACTTACCACACATACACCAGCTAGCCGCGCGCGGAACCTCTTGATGACGACGAAGAAGAAGAAGCCAGACAGACCCGCGGCGGCGGGATCTGTGGCACTGGCCACATTCATTTAGCGACGTCTACCGCGATCGCCGGGAAAATCGACTGTGAGAAGGCCACGAAAAATGGCTTCCATAACGAGGAGCGTCGGACGAGGTGACGCTTGAGAGGTTGTCGATTGAGCAACACCTCACGGCACGAAAAGCAGCCGGTTAGACGCGGGATTAGCAAATATTTCCTTTTTTTGCGCGCGATGGTAAGGAGGAGGTGGGAATGAGGTGGAACACGAAACTGTGTACGGATACTGGAGATTCCCTCTTCGTACGAAACGAGAAACGATTTCAATCGTTCAAAAAAATGATAATTAATAATGATAAATGATAAGCGGGGGGAAAGCAATGAATAACGCATCGATCACAATCGCATGGATATATCCTACGGGCAATGTAAATGATGACTCGACTTATCGATAAAAATGGATAATTTATTAAAGATATATTATTATATTACGTGTTTAATTGGAGCCACGTGAACATTTCACAACTCGGTTTTAAATTTCTGAAATATCACAAATATTTATAATTCAGGAGTTAACAACGACCGAAAGTCAAGTCAAAGGAGTCAGAGGAAGTCAGAGGAAAACGTGGAGCAGGAGCTTTGGAGAAAGTCCTGTTAGATTCGAAAGGATTATGGCCGTGCAATTAACCGAGGAAAAGAGAAGGGTGATGGGTAGAAAAGAGAGATAGCCGTGGGGGCTAGCGCGAAATTCGTGACGGAACGCCGCTTCTTTCGTACTGAATCATAACTCGACCGTTGATGGCAGAAGTGGCACGGGACAAGCGGTGGCTTCCTTCCTCCACTTCGCCGATTTTCTTCGCCAACGACCACCTGCTCCGGCCCTACGTACCCTCGTTCATTCGTTTCCGTGATCAAAAATAGAAACACGTGTCGTGACAGCGTCGCGAAACATCACGGTATCTTCTTACCTCATAGACTTTTTATTAGCATGAAATATTTGATGTAACGTAATAAAAAAATAATGATAAACGCAATTTCCTATAATAATTTTGGTTTACTTAGACTGTGTACAAAGAAGGAAGGAACAATTCCAAACGGAATTTTACCGTGATACGGTATATACCGCTTTATCGAGCATTTCGTGTTGTAATCCGGAAAGCTTCGGGAAAGTTGAAACGGAAGCGAAGGTCTAACGAGCGCTTCGTTGCATGCCTGGCGTTAAGGTCGGAGGTGATGTCGAAAAATGGGAGCGATACCAGTCCCTTTGGGGTGAAACCGGCCATTTTAGCGTCACCTTCTGACACGAGGACTATATTTCGAGTACGACGCAAACGAGCGTCGTACCGACGTTTCGTGGCTGATATCCATCGTCTGCGTCACTGTCAGAAACTGTCCGCCCATTCGTTCCATCGTTATCAACCGATCGATAATCAAAGGGGCATTAGTTCAGAAGAAATGTACACGCAGCGGAAATTATTATCGTCGTTATAAATCCCGAAAAGCGTCGAGCATCGATATCGACGCGAAATCAATCGATGATAAATAAATACCCTGCAAAAAGTTCCGCAGAGAAACGGAACTTGCCAATGAACGATGCAAAGATGTGGAAATGGAAAATAATATGGCATCGAAGGGAACATCGGGATTTAATCGGCAATCACCGAGGCGTCATCGAAATCAAATTGAAAAGCACAGCGAGGGGATTAGGGGATTGGTCGCGTTCATGCCGCTGTTATTGTCGATGTAAGAGAGCGGGGACTCGGACTGCGGACTGCACAGCAATCGGCGATCGACGGTGGTGGTCGTGGGTGCTCGTTATCATCCCCCCCCCCGAATCTGCGGGTCGGTAAGACCCAAATCGAATTAAATTAACACCGCGAAGGAGCCGGGTTAGGTCCTTCCAATTAGAATCTGGAATCGATCCGGGCATCGAAACGAGTATTAGGCGAGCGTTAAATTTAGCGTCCCCGACTATTAGAATCTCCGTTCGTGATGCTCTGTGCTCCTCAATTACATTTTACACGCGTACGTGCACGACAAGCCTGACGAAAAGACTGACGATTCGATTGCTCGGTTCACAGATTCATCTACATGGCGAACTCGCAAACGAGCCGCTTGCGTGTCGACAATTACATGCGACCTACGTTACGTGTGCTAGAATTATTCCACCGCCGTCAAATTTCGCGTTAAATTGAGGTCGAGTCATTAATCAGCGACGCGTATTCAATCGATATTGCCATTATCGACACGACACCTTTTCGGAATTAATATAATTTTCAAACGCTACATATTCTTTATATACAAAAGTAATGCGTCTCACGTAAAATAAAATTACACTACAAATTTTTTTACAATAATCAAAGCGCACACACAAGCGACCGACGCCAGCGGCGGAATTGATGCCAGCCAACGGAGCCGCAATCCTAATCGTAGGATAATCAGAGGGTGGTTTTTACGAGGCATCGTTAACATCGTTCAACGGCCACCGAACAGAACCACTTTACTTTTACTTCGAGTCGCGCTCGATCGTATATGTGATCGCGTAACAATCGACAATCCGGTCTCTCGAAACGAGGGATCCGACGACGCAATTTAATAGCAATCATTTTCAGTAGCGGCCGATAAACTCGGCTATATCTTCGCGGAGGACGCAGCTCGGAGGACGATTCGTGAAACGCGCATTTCGGGAGAAGTGATCCCTTGATATCCCAACGGTTCCCTTCTTTCTTCCCGTCTAAAGTCGCGCGTTGCGAAAGATACAAAAATTTATTTTTCACCGCTTTCACCCGCTTTCATCAAGCGCCAAGAACATACGATATGAAAGATCACGTCGATACTTTGAAGCATTTAGAAAATAAATTTTGCAATCTTTGAGCAACGACACGTTCCTCGTGTCACTTGGTCGTAGACCAAAAGGAACGTGTGATCGCGAACGAATCCCGTTCCTTCGATGTATCCCCTTCTTTCTCTCGCAGTATCCTTGGGACTAACCAACCGCACTAACGTAAGTTTCGATCCGTGAATCCTATAAACGCCCATGGTCTTAAAGAGACTCTGCTTTTGCTCTGGTAATCGCTTGATATGGTATGTCTGCAACTCTGCATGCGAATTCTTTCTCACGAGTCACTTGACTGTTTGCAAATCTCTCTGTAAGCGCACGTTGATTCACCGAAGTCAAATGTAGATGCTATTACGTATTAAACTAAACAAAAAAAAAAAATCATTGAAATTGCTATTTATCACGTTCATGTCGATGCGTTCGCGTCATTATATATTTTACGTAGCGATCCGAAAGGCCACGCTGGTCTCGGAGAAAATGTCATCCCGCGAGGTTGAATAGTGAAAAGTGTAGAAAACAGATTGAGAATCGGAGATCGAAACGCCTATATATATTTCTGCATGGAAATTCTCAAAAATATACACGACAGCATGAAATGTTGAGAAAACGACGAATGCCTCTTCGCGCGATCAACGTGCTTCCGTGTTCGCGTGGGAAACGTCAGAATCGAGTTCTCGAGAAGAGAAGTTGCCGTGCTGCCTCCCGCTTTGACAATTCGATCTTGCGTTTCGCACGCGAGCACGAGCGAGTAATCTTACTGCGCGAATACGTTAACGCGCGAATTAATATGATTTTCCTTCCGTCGGGGTCCGTAGAGGGTCGCGAATGCGTGAATTGCGGCGCCACATCGACACCCCTCTGGAGACGAGACGGCACTGGCCACTACCTCTGCAACGCCTGCGGGCTTTATTACAAGATGAACGGTCAGAATCGACCCCTCATCAAGCCGAAGCGACGCCTGGTAAGTACCTAAGCTGAATTAGTTTCTTCCGAGCAAAGTATAAACAACCGTATGATTATTGCCGTCAAGCTCGATAGGAAGAGCGATTAATCAAACGACGATAAAGTATAAGAGGGAAGCGATAAAATAATTTAAATCATCGTAAAAATGACACTAACTGGAAGGTGATTTTTTACTTTTTATATCCGAGATCGATTGCTAATCTTTAACAAGTAAACACTCGTATGTAAATTCACATGCAACATGCATATTTATGTCAGTTTTATTAAGGCTGGATCATTAGAAAATGTAAAATAATGATGGAAAAAATGACGTGGAAATGTATATAGCTGATATTTCGCATGATAAGTACTCAGTGGTAATACATTTATATTATGAACTTTATATATTGATATCTCAATCCCGATAAAAATTCTACGTCCGTTTTATAATACATCGTATTCGTAAAAGTGCGTCCTTGATCGCTTCCTTCGCGCACACACAGCGAAGGCGCGCGCGCGCGCGCGCGCACACACACACACACACACACACACACACACACACACACACACACACACACACACACACTTAATTAGTACACACAAGCGGAGAGAACGAAGTTATGCGTTTCTCGCGGTGTGTAGATACAGTAATCAGAATGCAGGATAAAACAAGGCCAAGTTAATTTCCTGTACTCGCTGATTAATATACGCTCCGCTCCTCACCACTGTGATTAACAGCTCCGTATCGCGGCGCGCCCGATGACGGCAGGTCGAATGATTTTCGTGCGGAGAATCGCCGGCTGCGGTGATTCTCTCCTATCGGAGAATACGCGCGCCTCGCGCAATAACCACCGTTAACGAGAACACCTAGAAATATCTCTCTCACGTAGGAAACGGGAGGAAGCACCTCCACGCGATCTAATCGATCGCAAAATTGATCGCGATCCGAAACGGAAGCGACGCGAGTAAGCGCACGAATAAATTCTACTCCGCCACACGTCGCGGCGGATGTCTTATGTAATAATTTTTACGCGCGACGAGGAAGGCCAAGTCGAAGGCCCAACGCGCGCTGCGAGATAGAAATCTTTTAAACTCGAACTAAACAGCTCGTTTCGAAAACTTCTTATCACGAGCGCATAAATGCATTCTCGCGGAGAGAGCGCGATACGCACCTTTACATAAAGAATACTTTACTTAAGAATGAACGGAATAAATTTTAAAAATGAGCTGCCATATATTAACTGTGACACACGTCTAGCAATCATAAATTCATATTTCCCATATTTAAGAAGGAAAAATAAGAGACGCACTGGTCTTTTTACGTTCGGTTTTCAGTCGCGTTTGTAAGGCGAGCTCCGCACGTATTAGGTCGCCGGCGTATTCGATCGATATCAGGAACGGTAGTCGGAGGTTTCGTGCGATCGGCTCGTAGAATTCGTGTGAACTCGATCTATTTTTGGCGACTCGGCTAGCACCTATGTAGATGGAGCAGCCTCGTCCGAAGTACCGATGCGGAAACTCGATACCACCGGCTCCGCTTCCTCTTCCACCGTTCGCACTCTCCTCCCAACTGCGACTTCGACCTGACTAAACACTCACGAAAATTCGCGGAATCGATCACGGAACGTCTGTTTTATGGTTTACACTTGCCGTCTCTCTAATCACGTATTAGAGAGGAAACCGAGCTCTCCTCTTTTTATCGCGGCGCCCAGCGCCATTTGCAATAGCGCAAGGCTGATCTTTTTTTTTCTTTTTTTTATTTCTTTACGCGTGACGTCCCAATCTGAACTTTACGAATTTTTAGCAAATTTTAAATATTAATGCAAAGTGCGTTTTTCATCGGAGGTGTCCTTAGAGTGTGTGCGTGTTCGTGTCAACGTCGGCAAAATGAATCGAAAGTATTGCGCAGCGGGTGAGCACGCGATCTCCGTAAAAAAGAAAGATCGTCGGACGCTCAATTAGACGCTCGGAGGTGTTCGGAGGTGCACTTTCATATGCTGTGTCAACCCTCCATAGATCCGTTTCTCGCAAAGAGATCATTGCCCGTGAAGCATCTCGAGGCGGGACTCCAGGTGCATGCTCTCGTCACGAGAGAGCCCGAGATGCAACGGGCGATTCGGCGCATACCTCCGATGCAGAGAGGCGCACATTTCACTATCCCTCTCGTTGTCGCACTTTCTCCATGGTGCGCGATAGAACAAGGCTGATGGATTCAAAAGTTTTTTTTTCACCGGCCGGCGTCGCCTCGCGAGTAATTATATGCCGGCCGCACGCCATGCGTTTCGTTAATTGACGAAGTTTTACAAACAGCATCGCCGCCTCGCAACACCGTGTAATTTTCCGCGACTTCATTTCTTTTTATTTCTCGTTTTTTTTTTCCGTTGCCGTCCCGCTTAACGCATCGCGACCACTCTCTATCGCGAGTCTAGGCGCGCACGTCTCTGCGCGATTTCGCCGAATCCAACGGCGCGCGGCGCGAAACTTTGTGGGATTTCTTAGAGGAAAGGCGCATACATTTAATAAATTTCTTATTACGCGCATAAAATACTATTTCTGCGATTATTCAAATATCTAAATTTTTATTAAATGTAAAAGAAAAAGGAAAAGAGTCGAAATTGATCGAAGAATTAATCATTGACTTGTCAAACGATGGCTCGTTCTCTCTACACATCTCAAGTACACGGACTGTTCGTAGTAGATAATTCATTTGCTGTCGTCCATTAAACAAAGGCAATCGTTTCGCGAGTTTGCCATGACGACCCGTACGAGTACAAATATTCCGACGCGATGATGAACCGACACGCCCACCCATCATTCATCCGCGTGCACGCGCAGCGATGCCGGTGTGCGTGCGTGACGTGCGCGCGTAAAAACGCGGCCGCTCGATAAAATATGTATCGATTTAAAGCAGTGGGCGTACGCACGTGCGTGCGACACTTTCGGCGTTTTCCATCATTTTCCCCGTGCTGTTCCGGAGTTCCGGAGCACCCTCTTTTCCCCGACCGCTATTCACTACGCACCGCTTACTTGTCCCTATTTACTTCCGGATTAAAAATTCATGCGACCACCCAGTCGAAATTCATCCACGATTGCCGGTTGTCTCGGCGAAATGACGGCTGATCGTTCGCGATCGATCGACCCCGTTCGGTAAGCGATGCCGTTTACGATAATAGCGAAGCATTCCGGAAAAATATTACGAGAAAGAGAAAGAGAGAGAGAGAGAAAAGATGTAATTTATTATTCAATGATTAATATCTAAGTGTGAAAATATAACGATGTTAAACAACTTAATTTACAGAAGAAACAAAATTAAATTTTTAGAGGAGAATTTGGAAAACCCGTAAAAATTTATTCCTTTTACATGTAAAATGAAAAGCTGAGTTTATAAAAAAAAAAAAAAAAAAAAAAGATGCGGTATTATCTAACCATTCCAAATCCCGGTTTAAAAAAGGGAGAGATGCACGCAAAGGCATATGCCTTCATCACAATATGTTTCATTTTTAGCGTGCATCGGTTGGTTTGAATCCAGTCACAGATGTGTCGCCGAAAAACGAAGCGCAGATACGATCTGGGAAACAAAAGGCGGCCACCAGGTATACGCACGCGGGTGTGCACGCGGCCCACCACCCCGTATATAATAAAGTCGTG